TCTCAGGGGCCAGGCAGGTGGGGACTATTGTATAGTAGTGACATTAGAGCCTCTCAAATGTAGCCAGAACTTCCAGTTCTTCAAAACAGAGTGGAAATTCATATAAAACAGATTTTATATGAAATGGTTTAGCTTCTAAATGTCAACAAACAATTTAACACCTTGTAAAGCATGGCATAAGCCAAAAAACCACTTTTGTATAGTCTGTTAACAATCAACCTGTGAACTCTGACCTGATAGGATAAGATCCACACTCCTTCAAATGGCATAAAAGATTCTTCATGATCTATTTTCTGCCTGACTTACCAACCATATCTCTTGCCCATTCTTCCTGCCAAAAAAAATGTACACTTCATCAATTCTGACTCTTCATTTTCAGAAAAAAAAGTGTAGTGTCATTTTCCTTTCTGCTTTTGCCTCTGTTCCTGTACATGGAGTGTCCTCCCTAATTCACATTGCATCACTTCCAAACACCTCATTCAATTCTCCCTTGATTAGCCATCTCTTTCCCTACCACTCTCCTCCCTTGCCATTTGGAATCCATGTCTCTTTGGTAGGTTCCTAAACCATTATGTACATCCCAGTCATTAACTGAAATAAAGACTATAAAAGAAGTAATTGTATGTAGGGAAGATATTAAGTTCCATTTCATGTGTATTAGGCTTGAAGATTTCATGTCAGTAGGCAGTTGTGTAAATAGGTATGGGACTTAGGTGCAATATTCGGCCTTCAGGTTGGGATCTGAGAAAAATTAAATAGAAAAGAGAGTTAAAGATGAAATCCTGTGAAATAAGATGTAGACAGAGAAAAATGAGGCTTATAAGAGGAGTCTGAAAAATAATTACAAAGTTAGGAAAACCCAGAAGAAAGTAGTGTCATGGAAGACAAGGGGAAATTTTCCAGAGGGAGGAAATATTCACCATGGTCAAATACTGTAAAACATCCTTTGGATTTAGCAATTACATCAGTGCTAATCCTGATAAAAACCAGTTTTAAGGAAGGTGGTTGTTATACCAAACTTGAGTGGACTGAGGAATGAATTAAAAACATGGGTATGGAAACCATGAATATAGATTACTTTATCAGGAGTATTTTTTTTTTGAATTGGTGAAGAAACATTAGACTTTTATATAAGGTCAAGGAAATATTTTTTGTATGATCTATTTATTCGTTTAATTCTGGCATTTCTCAACAGGGAGTTATTAGCATTTTGGGAAGGGTACTTAGTTGTTGTTTGGAAAATTCCTACACATTGCAAGTTATTTAGTTGTTACTCTCTTCCTCACTAAACCACAGCAGTGTTCCACAATCATTTTGATAATCAAAAATACCTCTACCCACATATCCAAATATCTCTGGAGTAATTGCATCGACTCTATTAGAGAATCACAACGCAGTCTCCCCACAATCCATTCTTTTTCTCCTTCATGCTTTATTGCAAAAAATATCAGACAGCAAAGTTGAAAAAATAGTAAAAGACATTTGGATATCTGTTACCTAAATTCAGAAATTAAAATCTTGCATTATCTACTACTTATAAGCATTTGTATTTGTTTTTTATTTCATGGAATCATTTGAAAGTAAGTTGTCAATATCATATTTAACATACTCATCTCCTTAAATTAAGGATACATTCCTACATAATCACATTATTACATCTTAGCACAGAAATAAAAATTCCTTAATATCATCTAAAACACAATCCATATTCAATTTTTCCAATAATCAATTAATATATCTTTTTTCCAAATCAGAACCTAATCAAAACTTACATGTTTAATTGGTTGTCATAGTTTTCAGTGTCTTTTAACTTAGAACATTTTTAATTTTTTTCTTTTTTTTTCTGAGACAGTCTCGCTCTGTCACCAGTCGCCAGGCTGGAGTGCAGTGGTGCGATTTCGGCTCACTGCAACCTCGCCTCCTGGGTTCAAGCAATTCTCCTGCCTCAGCCTCCTGAATAGCTGGGACTACAGGTGCACACCACCACACCCAGCTAATTTTTGTATTTTTTTTTCCAAAAGCACTGTTTTTATTTATATAGAGACCTAACCACTTCGGCAGTAGAAGGAGTGGGAGAGGCTCATTTTTCAATCCAGGGACCTCCGTAATGTTGGTTTGTTGTTACCAAACACACAGTTAAGTGACATCATGGATCTGGTAAACTAACGACAATATTTAGTTTCTCTCTGCTAGAGCAACAAGGTGAGCATCAAACTCTGCTTCTGTAAGAATCGTGAATTTAGGATTTTTCAACTGTCACTACTCCAACTTCTATGTCTGAAGGTTTGAAATCAATTGATAGAACAGTAGACAAGCATGTAATTGCAGTTTCCACTGTCTGTTCAAATGTCCAATCAAATTTCTTCTTCACTTTTTTTTCAAGGAAGCTGGTTGACTCAGTCTGTTTAACTCCTGCTGCAGTGGCTTTAAACCCACAGTAGTAACCTGCAGGATCTTATATACCTGAGGGCCTTGCTCTTCATCTACACCAATTAAAATCATACAACAACCAAGAGGCCTCATTTCGGCATTCTGTGTATAGACCTGAGAAATCTCAGCAATTCTTTTACACAGCATGTTCACAGGAATCTCACAGCCATACTTGTATTTCCAGTTAGCTGCCTCATAGCGTGCCCTCTGCACCTGGAATCTGCTGTCAGCTGTCATTCTGGTCATCACACAACCAATGTTTTCAGTTATCTTGAATAAGTGAGTCATTGTGCTGGAATCCAATAATTTGTCAGGTACTTTCTTCTGTGTGACAATTACTGCACAGTCTTTTCCTCTGACAGCTACTGATGTAAGGCTATCCTGGTTAAGCCTTAAAAGCATATTCTGAGCCGGGCGCGGTGGCTCAAGCCTGTAATCCCAGCACTTTGGGAGGCCGAGGTGGGTGGATCCCGAGGTCAAGAGATCGAGACCGTCCTGGTCAACATGGTGAAACCCCGTCTCTACTAAAACTACAAAAAATTAGCTGGGCATGGTGGTGCGTGCCTGTAATCCTAGCTACTCAGGAGGCTGAGGCAGGAGAATTGCCTGAACCCAGGAGGCGGAGGTTGCGGTGAGCCGAGATCGCGCCATTGCACTCCAGCCTGGGTAACAAGAGTGAAACTCCGTCTCAAAAAAAAAACAAAAAAAAAAGAAAGCATATTCTACTTGGTAGAGCTGACCCTCGGGTGAAAAAATGGTAATGTGGCGGTCAAAACCGGCTCTGGAACCACTGGACAAGTTGGTAGAACCGCTACTTCAAACACAATCTCTGAGCCCCGCAGCTCCCACACCAGGTGTACAAGCCCCTCCCAGAAGTTGCAGCCAATTTTTTTATTTTTTAGTAGAGATAGGATTCACTATGTCGGCCAGGATACTCTTGATCTCTTGACTTCGTGATCTGCCCGCCTCGGCCTCCGAAAGTGCTGGGATTACAGGCGTGAGCCACCAGGCCCAGCCTATTTACAATTTTTTACAACACTGACTTTTTAAAAAAGTCGAGGCCAGTGTCCTAGAGATTATCCTATATTTCAGATTTGTCTGATTAATTACGTGTGGTATCATCTAATATGCTCTTCTATCTGTTTCTAGTAAAGTGATAATTGATCTAAAAGGTCTGGTTAAACTCTCAGGCTAAAATTTAGGTAATGCTGAGGCACATAACAGAGGCTGCTCTACTATTAATGGTGCTATGCTTGATCATGGAGTTGAATCTTTGGTCATTACATATTGTTGATTGCAGGGAATGAGTGTTTACATTATTATAGTTTTAGCACTAACACAGGGCTTAGTACATACAGAGTACCAATAGGCTACTCATAAATATCAGCTTAATAATGGTGAGTAAATGAATGATTTAAACTGATGTTAAGTGATAGCTAACAAAATAAGAGAGTTGGGTTTTGACATATATGTTCTAGAATCCTTGGTTATATGTCTAGCAGAGGAAACAAATTCAGTGTTTATACATTCAATTACTGTTATTTTTTTTGAGACAGAGTCTTGTTCTGTTGCCAGGCTAGAGTGCAGTGGTGCAATCTCGGCTCACTGTAACCTCCACCTCCTGGGTTCAAGCGATTCTCCTATCTCAGCCTCCCAAGTAGGTGGGACTACAGACTCACACCACCACACCTAGCCGACTTTTTTGTATTTTTAGTAGAGACACGGTTTTGCCACATTGCTCAGGCTGGTCTTGAACTCCTGAGCTCAGGCAGTCTGCCATTTTGGCCTTCCAAAGTGCTAGGATTACAGGCATGAGCCACTGTACCCAGTCTTGTGTATGGTAATTTGTTATACAACAGTAGAAAATGAATACATATAGGCAGGGTGCGTTTCCATTATTTGCACTCAAGAACCCTAACTGGTTCATGTATCTACTGCTGGGGAGTGCCGAGATAATAAATGGAATTATCACACTCTGTCTCGTTCTATTACTACTATACATATTTTTTTTGAGACAGAGTCACTCTCTGTTGACAGGATGGAGTACAATGGCATGATCTCAGCTCACTGCAACCTCCGCCTCCTGGGTTCAAGTGATTCTCCTGCCTCAGCCTCCTGTGTAGCTGGGACTTCAGGTGTGCACCATCAGGCCTGGCTAATTTTTGTATTTTTTTTTTAGTAGAGACCAAGTTTCACCATGTTGGCCAGAATGGTCTCGATCTCTTGACCTCATGATCCACCTGCCTCAGCCTCCCAAAGTGTTGGGATTACAGGCGTGAATCACCGGGCCCGGCCATTACTACTATTAATAGAAGAGGGGAGGGATGCTGGACAGGTGACATTAAAACAAACCAAAAACAGAAGTCTACTACATAGCATTCAACCTTCTAAAATTTAGAAGAAGTTAACTGTTATTTATATAATAGTTTCTACCTACTTTCCCATTATCCCATATTTTTTAGTAACAATTTTTAACCACAAGCTCCATTATCTTAATGGTAGTATTTTAAGCCTTCATTTATTCATTATCTTTAAATTATGATGGTGAGGGTAGAAACACATGTTCTCTGTAAGTTCTCAAGACACTATGGGGTCATTTAGCCTAGCCAGACTACTTGACTGAACCATAATGAGGGCAAGCCAGTAGAATATGAGTACTCCAAGATGCTACTAAAATGGACAGATGAGCATAGGGAAAAATTAGCAGAACATTCCTCATCATCCCGTTTTCTTCTCTCTACAACTCCAGCTGCCATCCAAGCTAGATTTCCAAACAGAAAAAGGCATTGCTCATTCCAGTTTTAAAATCTGAAGGTTTCAACAGCTTGCCATTGCACTGATGACTTTTCAGTCTCTGAGAATTTTCTTTTAAAATGAGATAGGTCATATTTTAAGCCTTATTAACATCTTAATTCTCAGTTTATGCCAAGGATTAATTGTTTGCTACTAGCAAGAGTAAGTCATAGGATAAACGCTTTGGGATGAGAGAAAAGTTTTGAAAATAAAGCATTCTTTACATTTTACCTAGGGGTATCTGAGCTATTTCGAATAATTCTTTGTTACACTTTATAAAATCCTTCAATCATCCTCATTTTTATAATAAACATGTTCACTAATTTGTATAGACTTTCCATGATTAGGTTACTATTTCTCCAGCTCTGTGTCCTGTTATGACTTTCTTGTTGCTTTGTGTTCTGATACTACTATAACTGTTCCTTTCTGCCTTTATACAAATAAAATTTCACCCCCACCTTTACACATACATCATGTTTATGCCTAGCCAGTTCCTACTCTTCCTTAATGATGATGAGTGCATGTATCATTACCTTCTCAGAGACTTCCCTGAGAGGCCCTCATATCTGCCCCTTCCTTCAGCACCCCAAAGTACATTCTTCTGTGCTTCAACAGCACATCCTACATTCTTTTTATCTATCTTCCTTCCCTTACCCTGTAGGGTAATATATACAAACAGTGCTTATAACAGGAATGGATACTTAATAAATTCTGTGTAAGTATTAGCTTTTATATTACATTAAAATTATGTTTCAATATCAGCTTCCTCCATTAAACTGTGAACTCCTTAACCTAAAGCACAATGTTTTATTCACCTCTTTGACTTACTTATTGGATTACAGTAGGTAATCAAGGAATGTTTGTTGAAGTGTAAGATGGAAAGAAACTATTATTTATTGAGCCCTGTATCAGGCAAGATTTCTAAAATATTTCCTCAAAGATGTCCCTTTTAATCCCTGGAACCTGTAAATATGATGAGCTATCACTCATGTGATTAATTCTTGTTAGGCAGTCTATGAACTTTAAGACAAAGAGATTATCTAAATTCATTAGCTTTTAAAGGCAGACACGTTTCTCAGGTTGGTGGCAGAAGGGAAGTCAGAGAGATTAGAAACAAAGCCTGAGAAAGATTTTACACAATGTGACGGGCTTTGAAGATGGAGGGGGCCATGTGTAAAAAATGGGGAGAGGCCTCCAGTGACCCGCAGCAGACAGCCAGGAGAAAACAGAGAACTACTCTTACAACTGCAAGGAACTGAATTCTGTCAACAATCTGAATGGGACTGGATGCAGATTCTTATCCAAAGCCACCAGAGAAGAGGCCAGCCCAGCTGACACCTTGTTTTTGGCCTTCTGAGATCCTAAGCATAGAACCCAGCTGAGCCCACCCAGACTTCTGACCTACAGAACTGTGAGATAACAACTGGATGTTGTTTTAGTATGCTTACAGCAGTAACAGAAAATAAACCCAAACCCCTACTACATGCTGAATATATGCAAGGCTCTTTATCTATGTATCAGGAAAGAATCTCACTTAGACTCCTCAAGATCATCTTTCCTGATTTTCTGCAAAGAACTAGGTCTCAACTTTACCACCTCGACAGTAGAGAATGCATTATCAGTCATTCTTGGTCTTTTACCTCCACCAGGGTTATATGTCAAGTTCCTGAGATTATACATACACAGTGCTCCTGTGGTCATGTATTGTGTCTGTGTAATTAGTTAATGCTGAAGCATCTATCCTAGCCTGGTCTCTTTAGGCATCTTCTCCATCCTTTAAGTCAGCCAGGGGCAGAGACTCTAGGGTCTCCCACTTGAGTGGACCCCTTCCAAGGCCTTGAACTTAATTATTTGTAATTTAAAATCCTTTTTCTTAAAGAGAAATATCTAAACTGTAATAATGTCAGGTCCCGGAAAACCTGGATATACCCTCAGCTCGGATCTTTCCTGGTTAAATCAGTCTCTTCTCTTCCCCACACCTCCACACCTCTTAACTGCTAGTAAATTCAGAAATTGTCTTTTCCTCTCTTTAGTCCAATTTTTTTCTTCACTACATTTAGTGGTATCTGAATTTATTCATTTAAAATGTATTCATTTTCTGTCCCTCCATACTAGAATGTAAGCTCATTGATGGCAAGTACTTCATTAGTTTCATTCACTCCTGTAACCCCAGAACCCAGAATAATGATTGACAAAAAATCGATGCCAATCAATACATATTCACTGATTGACCTCAGATCCACCAAACTGCTACATTTCAGCCATGTTTGTAACACAGCTACGTTTGACTAGTGTGAGACCCAGGCCTACGTTCCAGCTTCTATGAAGCAGCCATTCATTTTGAGATCCTGTCACATTCTGGGGCTACTTCCAGAGATCTGTGAGCAAATCGCTGTGGTTCAACAGACAAACAGACTTCTCTCTCATTCTTTTGAGTCTTTGTGTCACTTATTATTCTCAGTGAAATCTTTCTTTCCCATAGAAGCACGCAAGGATGGCTTGGGTGAACCCCTCTGCTTGGTTCCCCCCTAAGTAAAAATAACATTCCAGGATAGTACAGTCAAAATTTTTGTGAAGTGAAAAGAAAGGCAAATTTAGGCAAGTGAAAATAAAGGCAAATAAAAAATGATGCTATTTTTATTGATTTATAATGTTATGTATACTAGCAACCTCATATACTAATTCCAATCAGATCACGAGCCCTGAACTATTATTAAACAGAAATTGGTGGGTGGCCATTTCAAGTTAGGAGGGAAAATGTTTTGAAAGCAACTTCTGCTTTCTTCCTTGCCACAAACCTGCCCTGACGCAAGGAAGCAGAGTTGCTATCAGCTTAAATGAGGGAAGGAAAAGGCAAATACAAGAACACAAACAAAATCTCAAATTTTTTTCTCTCTCATATACATTATTCATTTAATCTTTAAGACAATCACATGAAGCTGATACTATTCCCACTTGCCAAAGCTGGGCATGGTCAGTATCAGTGATGTTGTGTCTGTTATGACTGCATATTTTGGCTCTCAATAATACCTTACTTTGTTTTTGCACTCTGGTCTGTGAAGGAATTTAAAAGCTTTACGCAGGATTTGATTTGAAGGACAATTGGATTCTTCAACTAAATACTAGCGATCCAAGATAGAACTCATGCACCTAAACTTGCCTTCCAGATACTGAAGACACCTTGTTTGTAATTTATTCTTGTAATTTCAGTGCTAAGGAGCATGACTCTTATTTCTGAAAGTCCTTCAGCACAGGGATACTTTTATACAAATTGGCCTTCCTACCAATGCCTTGCCTTCATACCTTGAGTTGGGTGTGCCACTAAGGCCCATCCTGTAAGCTTCACTTAATTAATCATAATTATTATTACATATACTAATTAAAGTCAGCCAGTTTCCTAAAGTGTAGGACATGCAGACTGTTGGTACATGAGGTAATGTTATAATAGGTAGATGTAACATTAAAATAACAGTGAAGCATTTTGCACAATATTCTTTTTTCACTATCTTTTAATCTTTCTGATAATGCTAAATTGAAAAATCTTAGGTTGATGCTCATATGCCCAACCCTTACCAATATCCCTTTTTTAACAAATTGAGAGCACAGCGTAGGCTCAGACCCTTGACACACAACTTAACTGATGTTTTGTTTTCATTGTATTTGCTTTAACAGTCTTCTTTATGTCACGTGGAAATGTTTTTCACTTACCAAAGCCACATAATGTTGCTTTAAAATAAAGTTATTTTTAAATAAATTTATTTTTATTTATTTTTATTTTTTTTGAGACGGAGTTTCACTCATGTTACCCAGGCTGGAGTGCAATGGCGCGATCTCGGCTCACCGCAACCTCCGCCTCCTGGGTTCAGGCAATTCTCCTGCCTCAGCCTCCTGAGCAGCTGGGATTACAGGCACGCACCACCATGCCCAGCTAATTTTTTGTATTTTTAGTAGAGACGGGGTTTCACCATGTTGACCAGGATGGTCTCGATTTCTTGACCTCGTGATCCACCCGCCTCGGCCTCCCAAAGTGCTGGGATTACAGGCTTAAGCCACCGCGCCCAGCCAATTTATTTATTTTTAAAAAGTTAAAGAAAACATTAAGCAAATACAAGTTATTTGTGGTTCTTGGATCTGGCAACATGATTGTGATAAAGGTTGGTAAACATTAAGTCAGATGAAGGGGCATGTGATGTTCTGACACAACATGATACAGATTGGGAGTCATGTGCAATGGAGGTGAGTTACCATCTCTTTAGCAGTATGACTGCACTTTGGATTGTTGCCAGTCACTCATCTGATTCCTAGTTTTGGGGTACCAAAGAAGTTTCATAGGTGTATCAGCCACTACTTGTACTGTGCTAGGGTTAGTTTCTTGAAATAAAGTCTCATGTGGCAGAAAATTTACCCTAAAGTAAATTAGAAACTCACCTTATAATCCAGAGACAAGACAAAGCATAAGATGCTATGATCTAGAAATCAGGATTGGTCTAGAAATGGAGTCTGAAGCAAGTTACGGTCATTCCACGTTGGTTCTGGTCAACTCCCTGGGTGGAATTAAATAAATTATAATGTGAACAGACTGTAAACTTTTTGGCAGGTTTTATTTTTTTAAACAGAGTCTTGCTCTGTTGCCCAGGCTGGAATGCAGTAGTGTGATCTCAGCTCACTGCAACCTCCGCCTTCTGGGTTCAAGCAATTCTCCTGTCAGCCTCCTGAGTAACTGGGATTAAAGACACGTGCCACCACACCCAGCTAATTTTTGTATTTTTAGTAGAGACGAGGTTTCGCCATGTTGGCCAGGCTGGTCTTGAACTCCTGACCTCAGGTGATTCACCTGCCTCGGCCTCCCAAAGTGTTGGGATTACAGGCATGAGCCACTGTGCCCAGCCTTTTCTTCAGGTTCTTAAATAAAATATTGGAAAGAAATTATTATGCAATGGAAGAGAGTTTGGATCAGGTGTAGAATACAGGAGATAAGACCAAAGGTCCTTGTTGACTGTTCTATTCTCAAGTATGTAAATGTAAACTAGTATCTCAGGTTTAAATTAGGAGAACATAAACATATCAGTTAAAAGTATTAATATAACTATGTACATTTTTAACAAAGGGCTTAGAGCAGAAAAAAATCTAAGCTGTGCATGTCAGCATTTCAAATACATCTATAATTTAAATTAAGTTGATCATAATTAACAAGCAAATTAATGGTTAGTAAGTAATGTCTGTAGTGTGATTTGAAACATATATATACAGATCTTATTCTGACATAAAACCCCCAGCTAGGCACAGTGGCTCACACCTATAATCCCAACACATTAGGAAGCCAAGGCAGAGAATCACTTGAGCTCAGGAGTTTGAGACCAGTCTGGGCAACATAGAGAGAACTCATCTTTACAAAAAATAAACAATAAATTAGCAAAGCATGGTGTTGCACGCAGCTGTAGTCTCAGCTACTTGGGGTGCTGAGATCATGTCTCTGCACTGCACCCTGGGTGCCAGAGTAAGACCCCATCTCAAAAAGAAAAACAAAAAACAACAACATGATTGATTTGCTGCAACCAAAAATATATTTATATATATATGCAAATTAGTAAGTACAGTTTTATTTGTACTTCTACTTTATGGCTTAATTTGCTTTGAAGGAGCTAAAATGTATCCTCACATCCCAATCTGTTTAGAGGCCATTAGGAAGTGAAAATATTTACATATCTCCTGTTTCTTCTGCTTAGACAAATATAAAAGCGTGTGTGTGTGTGTGTGTGTGTGTGTGTGTGTGTGTGTGTGTGTGTG